CAAAGAAACATGAAAAGAGACAAAATACAAAAATAAATATAAGAAAGAACAAGACGGTGGTGTAAAATGAGATGTTATGCAGTTTATTAATTTTGATTCATAAAAATATAAATATCTAAGAATTTGCCTCAAATGAATGATATTCCAAAATAATACAGTATCAATGGCCATCACTGATATTTTCATATATAAAAAATAAAAAGAATCTTTACATACTTAATGAGTAATTGTGTAACATTTTACTGGATCAAAAAAAAATGGCAAATTTTGAGGAGGATACCAGGGTGCTTTGCTTTTTTTACAGCTTATGTAAACTTTCTTTGTGGTACGTTGTCTTGTACAATATTTATGCACTGAATAGATTTCAAATGCACAAACTATTGTTTAAATTTTCTATAAGCTACTGTGAAAGTGCAAACCATTTAAAATATTGTTAAAAGTAACCAGAGCTATTCTATAATTGCTCAAATGTGCTATCAGCTGAAGATTAAGCTCATATTTGCACCGTAATACATGTTATAACTTTATGTACAGTGTTATTGGTGGTATAGTAGTCGTCATCACAGGTACAATGGAGTAAGATGTTCAGCCAGCTTATGGCTTTCTGTAGAGAAACCAGACTTCTGATATCTTGTCAAAGACTTTCTCTTTCAAGTCACTGATAAATGATAAGACAGGTTAGATAATTTGGTATAAAATTCTATTATCACATGTTATGCATTTGGATGGATAGCACAGAAATAGAAAAGCAAACCTGAGGACAAATAAGCAGTCAAGTGATTTACTTTAATAAATGATTTGTTGAGTCTGTGAATACCAGATCAGTGCAATTTATATTCATTTTTAATGCCATTTGAAATAAATTTTAATATCAAAATGAAGATGGAACTGAGAACCCCTAGGTTAAACTACTTCTGACGAAACACATTGAAATATGAACTTTTCTTTGAACAATACCCAGCTCAAAGGAAATCCACAGGGAATAAACTGTGAAAAAACTTCTAAAGCCTTTTGCCTGAAGTATTTCCCAACAAAGACATAAATCACAGGGTTAATGCAACTGTTGGTGGTAGCCAAAGTATAACCAAACTGCTCACCAAAGTTGAGCAGTTCCTCCCAGAAGCAGCCTTTGATCACTTCTGTCCGGAGTAATATATCAAGGAATACAAATAAATGGTATGGAGTCCAGCACAAAAGAAACATCAGTACCACTGTGAAGATCAACCTGGTAGCCTTCATGCCTTTGTGCTCCTTGCAGCTCTTTATTCTGAGTGATCTTTGTTCTCGTGCTTTTTTTTGTAGGTTGTGGATGGTAGAGAAATTAAGGAAGATGATTGCTGTAGATGGCAACACAAATCCCACTATGTTGAATACCAGGCTTTCAGCTGTTTCCCATGATGGGCTGGGGAAGTCTAAAGCACATGCTGAAATATTCCATGTGGGAAAGTGTTTCACAGTCCGAAACATAAAGATTGGGAGGCTGAGAAGGATGCCGAAGAACCAGGCGAGCAAGCAGATCCATTTGGCCATACTTTTGCTCCGTATCCCTCTGTGGTTCAAGGTATGAACAAAAGTCAAATAGCGATCCATGCTGACCGCCACTAGCAAGTAGATGCTGGTGTACATGTTTAGGCTGATGGATGTGCTGGTGGCACGACAAAGGAAATTGCCAAATGGCCAGTTGAATTCATTCCTTATGTTCTCTGCCCAGAAAGGGAGGCACGTGAGGAAGATCAGATCAGCAACAGCTAGGTTCATAAGGTAGATTTCAGCTATCTTCAGGGGGGCCTTGTGCAGGGAATAAGTGAAGAGAACAAATACATTTCCAAGTATTCCAATAACGCAGATGGTGTCGATATACTTGGGTACTATATAGAACACGATTTCCCACCAGTCATTCAAGTCTGGGCAAATAGTTGAGTTGCTCTCATTTTCACTTTGATTTGAGGAGGGAACATTCAGCAGAGGAGTTTCACTCATTTTTTTTGTTTAATTCTGAAGTGAACAGGAGACCTCTTTGAAATGAGAAAAAGGGACTGCAAAAAAGAGGCATAAAATTCTACAAGTTGTCTCCTATCAGCAGTGTAACAAATATTTTGCTGCTGTAAATTCTTTATTAGTGCTCACTGATTATTATAGGCTAGATCAATCCATGCTTCATATGTACAATGGTGAGAAATGTTCCCAGTATTTACAAGGATGGAACTTCCTCTACATCCTCTGAAATTTCCTCTCTTTGCTGCCGTTGTTTACAGTGGCATAGAGGAAGGAAAGTGCCATTTAATGTACGTAGTTCTATATGTCTCCTTCAGACTGATGACAGAAATAGATATAGCCAAATTCCAGCTCCCTGAGAGTAGCAAGAGTCACGCTGGTGACAGAAAGTTAGCTTTGCACCCTTCCCTGCCCTTTCTCTTACTCTTATTTTCCGTGCTACGTGTAACTTCAACAGGATGATGCCTGTTTCCCCAGCTACTCACTCTGTGTGCATCACTTGTTTGCTTAACTTTGCATTCTTTTGTTCCCTCTCAGTTCCTCCTATCCCAAACATTAAGGTCAAAATTACTGTTAGATTAGACAGCTTATTGCCCTCAAATGTCAGCAATTGTAATAATAAAACACTGACTCCTCCGAAATCTTATGCTCAGAATCTTGCCTGGAGGGAAGGCCCCTGCAGTTCAAAAATTTCATTGGAGTTCAGCTGGAGAGAGACAGCTCCAGCCTCCAAAGCATTCAGGCTTTTATACCATTGGCAATACCTTTATTTCTCTCTAGTAACTCCATGTGAGATATTGTGCGGGAATGAGAGCATGGGGAAAAATGTTATACCCCCGTGAAAATCCACTGGGTTACCAGAGCTGTCTCCTGTGATGAATTTATTCTCCTACTGTTGTCATGCAGGACCATAGTGCCTGGATCTTGTTTTTTACAGGCATTCAGTATTAGAGTCGTTATGCCAGGCAAGACATTACTGAGCCTGTGGTGGCATCTAACATTTCAGGATTTCATATCCAAATGGAGCATGCCAAACATAAAAAAAAAAAAAGTATTTAAAAAAAAAAATCAATGTTGTGCAGTCAGTAATCCTGAATGTTAACTTTCTGCTACAGCTATTTAGCTCTGCTCTTTCAGGTTCTATATTTTTACACCAAGGAGATTTCTAAGGATGGAGCTTCTGAAAAGAGCATTTATGGCCATCGTTCATCTCTTTTACATATATGTACAGTCTTAGTGATGTCTGTGTCTGAGCAGCTTGCAATACTTATGTCTATGATGCCTCTATCAATTAGATAAGTACTAATATTCCACATCATGCAAGTTGGTCCTTAACGCACAAAACATTTTTCATCACTGCAGAATTAAGTGAGCAGCAAAGTTTTATCTGAGTTCATAAACTCATTCAAGCTGGCCGTCTTATCAGGGAACTGGGCTACAATGGAAGTTAACGCAGCCCTATGGCTTCAAACATCTTCCCTCACAACAGTCTGGATGTTACCTAGTTCACTGACGGTCTCATGGGAACTAATAACTTGGGAGGATCTAAAACTGCAGAGCAGACATACAGAGCAAATAAATGGCTGATTAGCATCAGAGAGGCTATTTGTGAGACAGCCGGGATCTAACA